GATTTTGTTTGATGGGTATTATTCTTTATTTCATTTTATGGGCAATAAGTTACAGTTCAATCGAGATATCCAAAATTGATTGAGCCATTTTGTTTTTGTTTTACTATTAAAGCAAAGTGAAATAGTGTTTATGATTAGGTTTCTTAAGTTGTTCCGAAGCATTATTTGGCCTCAACTACATGGGTACAAAAGCTAGTAAGTTTGTATCCTCTCTAATAAATGAAAATAATTTTACCACATGTTACTCTCTCATTAACTTGGATACATTTATTTTTTGGTATTTTTGAATAAATCTTTTTTTCATTTGTCATTTTCTCATTTTTTTATCTTTTTTTAATTAACACCTCATATTTACACCTCAATTAATAATTTCCTTAATTGAAAATAACCAATAAATTACAATATTACAACCCATATAGAATTTAATGCGTTTCCATTTAAATTCAAATTTTAAATTTTAAATTTCAAATCTAAAATTTCAAATTTAAATAAATTTTTGTTTAAATCTTCATATTTAATTTTTTGTTTTTTTCAACCCATATAATATACAGATCTCACAACTAGTTATCAATCCTAAAATCTAATCTAAAATGGTGAGACATGATTTTGTAAAAGACTGGGTACCATTATTGAAGGCGTGTTTGGAATACTAGAATGAAATTCTATAGGTTCCATTTCAACTATGAATGTATAATATTATAATATAATTATTATACGTTGTTATACATCAATTTTAGTTATTTGATTATAACTTTTGATATTTGAAGGTCTTATATTTGTTTTTGTCTCGGGTCTAACCATTCAAGGCATGGGACCTCGGGACGGTAGGAAAAACAAAAAAGGCAACAAATTAGACTTTCAAGGACTGACTCAAATTGAAAGGACAATACGTATATTTTTTCAACTTTACAAGTTTATAGTGACTTTACGGTTTACACTTGCTTATAATATGAATTACCCAAGCTAATCGTACACTACAAGGATTAACACCTATCCAGACGACAATTTGGGACTCTGTGCCGACGACTTGTCATCGGTAAAGCTTATACCGACGACATGTCATCTATAAAAAGTCATCAGTATAGATTCGTCCGTAAAAGTCGAAAATGTCGTGGGTATAGAATAACCAATCCAGACGACAATTCATCGGCGAAGGATCGTCAGGATTGATTTTCGAGGAAATAAGAAAAAAAATTATTCGGACTCTATAACGACGACTTGTTGTCAGGAAAATTATGAGCAACACCAACGACTTGTCGTCGGGAAAAGTGTGAGCAATACCGACAACATGTCGTTTGGAAAGGGGAAAACCGTTTTTACAGTTGCAAAGCTGTACCGACGACAAGTCATGGGTATAGCCTTTTTTTCACAACTTTTGTTATATATACAAAATCTGTTTCTTAAAACAAATCCAAAAAAATATATTTGCAGAATAATATAAATATAACATAACATAACATACCATTAAAATCGAAAAACACTTAATAAACATTAACATACCATTCAAATTCTACTAAATACCATACCATTCATATTCTACTACATAACAAAAAAGCAAGTTTTTACCAAACATTGTTTTCACTATCGTTCTAGTTCTCCTCCTCCTCCTCCTCCTACTCATCATCATCATCATCACCTTCATCAACATCATCATCGTCATCCTCCTCATGTTCATTGGATGTTTCGGGGTTATTTTGTGAAAACATATTGGGATTAAATTAAAATTGTGGCATTGGTGGAAGTTTGGAATGACGGACGCGAAAGTGTTATTAAACATTTGGTTCATTTGTAGCATTTGTTGTTGTATGATTTGAATTTGTTTGGATAATACAGCAACTTCGGGATTATCTGAAGATTGGGATGTGGAAGCTTGGGAACGTTTAGTATGTTCATTTGGAAATAAATTATTGTTGATGCTTGGTTTCCTTCCAATTCCGCGAATATGCCCACGTCTCTCACCGAGGGAACGAGCGAGACATTGTTCTTCATTTAACTTTTCGTTAGCCCGAAGCTCTGACTGCATCAACATCTTCTTTCGTTGAATGTTTTCCTAAAATAAAGAAAACAATAAAAATACATTAATTAAAAAAATAACTATATTTATACACTAAAATAATAATAATAATAATAATAATATACCTTAAACTAACTATAATAATAATAATAATAACATATTTATCAAACAACTTATTAACTTTGTTTATTACTTACCCAAACTACTTCTGTTTGCGGTGTACACCAACCCCGACTTTCTTTAAATCGCATCTGTCTCCAACCATCGATATGTTGCGGGTCTTCTCATTTTTCTGTCTATAATAAGCCAAAAACAATTAATATATTTATATAAGTGTTAGTAAACTTTTTATAAAATACAAATAAATTTAATTACCTCCTCACGTCGTCTGTCTGCATATGTTCTACTTCCATGAGAACTCGTAAATTGAAGTTTGGACCTCCTTTCTTTATATTCTTTGCACTGCTTCCTATGACCCTCATCCAAAAAAAGAAGATCAATCATATTATCCCAAGCTTCGTCGTCTATATCATCCGGTGAACATTGTCTTGCCCCTTCAACATCATTATACCCACCAACACTATCAAAATAATTTTTCACCTTATGTGTGTGCACTTTATAAGCTCTTTGACAGTCGCTCTGTACAATCGCTTGAACGGCTTCCCACAGATCTGTACCCCGATACATACCAAGATTAAAATATGTCTGCAATAAAAAAACAAATTTAATTAGTAAAAAAAATATTTAAAAAGCATTATTTTTTCACATATAAAAAGTATTTTGTACTTACTTCAATCTCAATATACATAGCTTCATAGTAATGGAAAGGAACACATCTCCAAGTCCTATAATGGAGTGGTACATGATCTGCCACAAAGTTTGATATAAACTTTGTCAACATTTTGCCATTTGTATTTATGAATCTATAGCCCCCCTTCAAATATCAATATCCACTTGTAAAGGTTAACCGCTGTGCTTGAACTTTTTTTTGCATATTTAAGCATCTTCCTTTTCCACGTATACGTGTCAAGTTTACTACATTTTCCACGTCTGCGCATCGGGTTTGCTACATTGAAACATAGAACTAAAAATTTAGAAATTTAAAACTTTAAAAATATATCCAATATATCTATGAATTTCATGTAACTTACAAGATTGACAGCCTGCTGGTATTTTGCCTGCACGCTTATGTGGAGGTCGTTCTCCACCGTCTCCTCCATGCTCCCTCGCAACATGTGTAGCCATCTGTTTAACAAATAATAGGAAATATAGTAAACATACTTTAATATTAATATTAATTTGATTTTAAAACTAATTTAATTTGATTTTATAACTAAGCACTTTACATTACAAACAATGGCATCTGAATACAAAACTACAACTTATCATTTAACAAAAGTAAATAAGCATACATGTATACAATACATACAATTCTAATTTTCATTTCATTTTAGACATACAATATAAATGTATACATCTAAATACAAAATCAAACATCATACAAAATCAAAATCAAACATACAATTCCTGTTTTCATCCAATTTCATACAATCATACCTTAAAGCACCTTACATTTTAGACATCAAAATTCAATTTCATACAAATGTACACATCTAAATAAAAAATCAAACATCATTCTTAATTTCATTTTCATGTCAATGCAACACAATGAGATAAACAAATTATGCCTAAGTTCATTGTTATTTTCATTCCAAAACACATTTTCATACCTCAAAATGCATATATATATATATATATATATATATATATATATATATATATATATATATATATATATATATATATATATATATATATATATAATCAATCAACCAAACAAAATATTAGCAAAATTAAATATCATTGTGTATTTATTGAAAAAAAATCATAACCATCATCATCTTCATGTAACTGGACAGGAAAAAAAAATTACCTTAAAATCAGAGGTCAATATAGCACAATAACTGGAATTCGTTATCTCTGGTGGTGGTGAAGTTCGTTGGCAGTCGGCGGTGACAAATGCTTTGATTAAGGGCAATAACAACCAGAAATAAACCCCCAAAATCGGAATTAAACTCAAGCTACAACAAATTAAGAACAAATCTAGGACCAACAAACTTACCTTTAGATTGTCGATGAAGATGCGTGGCCGGAAATCGCCTTCGGTGCACACCGGAGGTTGAGAGGAAAAACGAAGTGAGGCGTTACTGCGAAATGAAGGCTGCTAGGGGTTTTGTTACAGGGAAACCTATACCGACGACATGTCGTCGGTATAGGTAAAGGAAATAACGTCGTCCTACTTTTACCTCATTAAAAAAATATAATAAAAGAAATAGTTTTCACACGGATAGGTGGACCATTTTTTCCACCGACAAGTCGTCGCTATAGGTGGACCAAAACAACATTGTTTCATTTTTCTACGACACGGATTAAAAATAATTCGAAATTATTTTTCACGCGGATTAGTCCCATTTTTTTCCGACGACATGTCGTCGGCATAGTTGGACCAAAACGATGCCGTCTTCCTTTTCTGCAACAAGAAATATAAATAAATTGAAAATATTTTTTAATATCTTATAACGACGACATCCCGTCTGCATAGATATTGGACACACCGCCAATTTTTTCATCTTCCTGCCCGGTCTACACTAATGACTTGTCGTCGGGATAGGATTTCTATTCAAAGAAATATGGTCAAAGTTGGAACATGTTTTACCGACGACATGTCATCGGTATAGCTTGCATTTTGCCGACAACACATGTCATCGGGATAAGTGTCGTTTGGATAGGTGTAAATGCTTGTAGTGATACAAATCAAATATCAAAAAAAGGAAAATTAAAAATAGAAAAGATAGGCATAGAAAAGGGAGAATTAAAAACCATTTAGTAAATTGATATGATCAATATCCCATGATCATGTAATCAAAACCCTACCAATATCCAAGGAACAGAAAGCATCAATACATGCATAATCAATCTATTCCAGCTATAGCCATTGGTTGCCCCACTTACTCAACGTCACACGCTTCGGCTTCTCAGGTTCCATACTCAGCAACATCTTCGCCAACAACTTCAACCCTAATCCATTAATGGTGTTACCATTCATCGACACCGCCAGCCATACCACGTCCATCACATTCGCTACTAATATCGTCCTATCATCCGCATGTCCTAACCCATAATTTCGCACTAGCATCTCGGCATCTGTATGGATGCCGACACTTGTGAAGGTGTAACTAGGGTTGTTTAGGAAATCGATAAGCGTTTGAGGGATGTATGGTGCATGAATGATTTGAAAGATGAGACAGTGATTGCCTACGCATAACTATAAGATGGCGACGCAGTTTTCACCTCCTCACCGAAAGGAAGCACGCCACTCTGTGTCTAAACCGATTATTAGACGGTGGTCGCTGATATTCTCGGTGACTTCAGATCCATGTAGTGACATAGTCAGGGTCTTTGGTTACGGTGATGAAGATGTTGTGTTTGTAGAAGGAGACGTTCTTTATGTGGGTAGTGTGCTGCCACCACCGTTGCCTTCTGTTGATCACCATGGTTCTCTTCTTGAATGAAGGAATATATATATAATAATCTCCAAGAAACCAATAAGGAAACATAATATAAAAGAGATAACAACCAAGATATAAAGAAAAAAATCTGATAGATAAAAATCTTTTGTTATGGGCATGTTCGGCAAAACTAGCGGGTAGCGGATAAGCGTTTGATTTTGGAGCTTTTTATTGAAAGCTACTCCATATAGCTTTTGATTTTGGAGCGGTTTGTTTAGGTTAAAAGTTTAACGCTCTTTCACCGAACGAAACTTTTTTTTTACTACTGTTTTCTTAAAACCTAGAAGTCAAAAACTCTCAAACGCTGCATGTTGAACACGCCCTGTATATGTAGAAAAGTTTCTTGTGATTTGAAAGACTATGTATCATCTATAACTTTAATTAATAGTTATATTATTTTAATAAAAATGTAAATAATAGCTTATTAATGCATGAATATTCTTTAAAATAAGTTAAAATGAAGAAGAATAAGTCATTTTAGTTTTTATTTAACGGATATGAAATTGATTATTATATATTAAAATCCAATTTTTAAACTTAGAATCACAATAATTAAATAATCGAATATCATAAGAGCATTAGGGAGCCTTGGCGCTTAAGTTTTGCTATGGACTTGCCCGTTAAAAAGTACAAATTTTGCCTATATATCATTCTCTCTCTCTCTTATTTTTTATGATTCTTTTTATTAATCTTTTATATATCTTTCTCTCTTTTCTTTTTTATGGTTATTTTTACTAATAACCATGAATTATTAAGTTTAGAGCTTAGGTTAGAAATCTATAGAAATTTTTTGTCATATGTCATATTTTTATTTAATTTGTTAAATGTTATTTTATGGTTGTTTCGAATTAACTTTTTATATATATGATTTTATAATTTTCCTATTTTATTAAATTCTATATAATATGTTAATATAATAATTACAATAAATATAGAAATAAATGGATATTAATTTCATTAATGGACATACATTTTAATTTCAAAATTCTCAAAGTAAAGCTAATTAGTTTTTTTTGTTTATTTATTTAAATTTAAAAGATAAAAAATACATTTGAATTTTGATAATTCATTATTTTTCTTACTATCTTATAAACTCAAAGTTCTCAAATACTTAGACCTTTATATTTAATTTTTTTTTTAAATTAACTCATATAATACAAACGTCTTATAGCTAGTGATTTAAATAAAAATGAAAATGTGCATGAAAACGGTTTAGGATGGTAGAGAATATAAGAATGCTAATCCGTGTGAGAACATGAAACCAACTCAATTTTTTCATATTGATATGAATACCATTTTTTTAACTGTATAAAAATGATAAATTTTGGCATGATTTGTTGTATTTTTCTGAAAAAATAAAGCAGTAATTTTAAAAACATTAACGCTACACTAAATTTTAATATAATTTTTTATATTTCATAGTTATATATCGAAATGTATACCACCTTTTAGAACATAAAAATGATAAACTTATTAGTTAATTTTGGATTTACCCCTCCTAACACGATGAGTTGTAGGAGGTGGATCCTTGTGCAAGAAAGAAGTCTGAAAAGTTGCCTAGGATTCAAGCAAAAATAGAGGTTGCTTAGCCCTTAGGCATCAAACAATAAGTATGGCCGCCTCAAGCCGATTTGAGGTCCAGATAAAATAAACAAAATAGGCCCTTTTATATCACTGCTACGATTTAATACCAAATAATTTATCTTTACAAAACAATATAAGTAGATAGGTCCTGAAAATTTGGAAGCTCTGGGCATCACCCATGCTGCCACACCCTCTGGTACGGCCCTGACAATAAGGTTTTATATATGGAAATGAGAGATCAATCGTGGATTCTAATTAGATAGCGTGTGTATATATATATATATATATATATATATATATATATATATATATATATATATATATATATATATATATATATATATATATATACATGTTTCGGGTATTATGACATCGGACAAAAAGATACAGAGGATTTGATTGTAACGAAATTTTGAGCTATTTTCTTTTTTATAATAAGATTTGTTGCGTATTTTCCGTGTTGATACTTTCATCAATTGGCATCAAAGCGGCTAACATAAGTGGGAGTGTTCGTCGATCATGATAGGCACGGGAGACAACAATTTGGGACCGTCTGGTATGAAGAAAGGCTCGTCATTCTCGTTCAGACGTTGCTTGCAACAAATTACACTGTATGGGAAATTTGAATGAAGGTGATCTTAAATGTACATCAAGTTTGGGATATCGTTGACCCAGGAGAGAATGAACTAAATAAGAATAACATCGCTATATCGGTTCTCTTCCAAGCGATTGTAACATACACGTTTTGAAATCGTGTATTGTAAATTATAAAAGAGAATAATATTATGTGAAATTGAGTGTTGAGTTCTAACGAATAGTTTTTACTAGAAATAAAGTGAAACTAGTTTAGAATCACTCATAAAATATTGGAAGTCTTATGAGATTCCAATTAAAAGCTAAATAGTGAAATTTAGCGAAAATATAAAATTTTACATAAGTAAAATTTTATTATTTTATGTTGTAGAGAATCTCATTAGAAACTTTTAGGCGAAAACCTCGTCGAAATCCGAGTTATAACGAAGAAGTTATGACCAACCGAAGATCGGCGACAAAACCGGCACAACGCTGAATGACGTAAAAAGTGAGTTTTTGATAAACTACTTTTTAGTCTTAGTAATCTAAATGAAAGTCGTAGTATTCGTTAAAACGAGAAATTCGATAAAAAGAACGTCAAAATCTGACTTCGTATGAGGAAGTTATGATTTTTCGAAGTTTCAACTTAGCAGTGGACAGCTAAAAACTCGAATTTTAGATCGAGCGATATTTTACCGATACATTCTAAACGAGAATTGAAGGTCTCGTCATATGTAGTACAATGGTAAAAAGTCTAACAAAAACAGATGTTGGATGAAGAAGTTATGAATTTTTAACGGATTTTCATGTCCCGGTCTGTTAAAAATAATAATATTAAAAATAAAGTCAAAATTAGCCAACGAAGTCTAAACGAAAGTTGTAGAGCGTAATTTTAGCTACGCGTGCATATAAAGAACGTCAAAAACGGAGCTCGTATGCAAAAGTTATGGATTTTAGAAGTTCGGGGCCCGAAAACCGAATAATTCCGCATGAATAGTAACCGGCCACGTCACCTCGCACGAAGCAGGTGCGTCACTGGAGACGTGGCCTCGCCTCGCAGTGCCACTTGTCGAACAGGTGTCCGAGCCTTGCTTCGCCACCGCCGTATCTATCTCGCATGCGAGCCACGTGTCCCTCGTTCCTAACGCCACCGAGCTACTTCGCACCAGCTGTTCCAACCTCGCATCCGAGCCTCGCCTTTGCACTGCGTGGCCTTCGCTACTGCTGCCACTTGCCCCTCCGGATCCGAACCTCGCCCCTATAAATAGGAGGGTGCGAACCCTCCCAGCTAGAATTTGAAATTTTCCAATTTTATCCCCTTTTACCATATTTTCACTATTTTGACTTTTCCCGAAGCCCCGGTATCAATTTTAGCACCCGAAACACGTCCCGAGACACCCAAGAAGCCCGAAAATTATATCTTTTCGGTTTTGAAGCCCTACCTTCGCAGAGCCCGGTTTTCAATTAAGCTCTCATTTTTCAACATAGAAAGTCATATTTAAAGCCGAAATGCTGTCCAAATTACTATTTTAACCCCCAGTTAACTTAAGGTAAGTTCAATATATAGGAACAATTGTATGTTATTTGTTATATGTGCTATATGCTTCTCAGTGTTATTATTCTGAGTTATTCTCCCGTGTTATTCTATTCGCTATGTTTATAGCAATTATAATACCTTTGACCATGTGATCAGTGAAAGGACTTAGATTCACATTGGTATTGGTACGTAGCCTCTGGTCATGTAGAGCATGTCTCCGTAAGAGAATGACTTCTATTCTATGGCATTGGCAGAAGGTTAGATAAGAATGATATGTAGCCTCTGACCATGTAGAGCATGACTCCGTAAGAGAATGAACTCTATTATATGGTATTGGCAAATGGTTAGACAGGGCTATAAACCTGAAATCTACCAAAATGTTAATCAGAAATTATATGTCTTCTGTGCCAATTGGGCCAAAGCTTTATTGATGCATATCAAGTATTGAAATCATTATGTCTCATTGAAAAAGTATATCTTTGAATAAAGTCTTTGATTGATATGAAAGTTTGTCACATGATTTCACATATGTCTTCTTGTTCTCTTCTACTTCTGTCATATTGGTATATGTAAGGCATAAGATTATATTGTATCAATTTACTGAATTTACTAAGCGTTATCGCTTATTCCTCTCAATATTTAACAATTGCAGGTGATGAGTATTCCAATGTAGCTTTATACTATTGAAAGATTTAGAATAGTTAATACTATTTCTCTATATTTTAAATATTCAAGTATGTATATGAATAGTAGATTCCTAGGTAGATATGAAATGTAATAAAACGTAGTCGGTTTGTATCCACTCATTTGTAATCACTTTATCAATATAAAATATTGTTTTGTAAATATGCATGTAGCATTTTTGATGAAGTAACTTAAGAAATGTTTTGAAATAGTATGAAAGTTTGAGTCTTTCATAAATACGAAAGTTGGCGTCTTTCAGCGATTCCCGAAAACCTTATTTTGCAAAGTAAAAAATGTCGTTGGTATAGATCCGTCAGTAAAAGACGAAAATGTCGACGAGACAGAAGTCGTCGGTACAGAGTAACCAATCCAAACGATAAGACGTCTGCAAAGGATTATCGGGAAAAGTGTGAGCAATAGCGACAACATGTTTTCTGAAAAGGGGAAAATATTTTTTTAACACCCTATACCGACGACATGTCGTCAGCATAGGTGAACCAA